GTTAAACTTATATTATAATTTTTCTTCATTACCCATTCAAGCCGTCTCCAGCCATTCATAGGTAAATGTTTTATTGTAGTTTGTACTAGTAGTAGTAGTAGGTTAGTTTAATAAAAATTAGCAAAATTTTGGAAAACATGAAACCATACTTGCACTAAGCTTTATAACTGATTCAGAAACTTATAATTTGATATTTCAATGTTTCAAAATTATAATTTTTAGTGGTTATAACAAAATTTACAGTGATCAAGGAAGGCTACAAGTTACAACATGAGACTAAAGACTAATGGTTTGGCTGGCTGCAACATAACAAAAATTCCTCTTATGTTGCAATCTTGTGCCAACCAGTTAATTGCACATTTCATCAAGATCACTGAATTAATGCTTTGGATGGCTTGAAGCAACTTTCTGTTATACAATATGATAACTGCTTTTTGCAGCAATCAGGCTGTTGTTTAAGGGCCACCTATTCTTACACAGCCAGATTGGTCCACCTTTAATAAAAAAATAACAATAAAAAGATTGGTTTTTTGATACAATTTAGCTTTTAAACTGTTTGTAAGTTTTTAAGAAAAGTAGTATTCTTATAATGCAAGCTGTACATTTATTCATAAAGAAGTGTTCAGGTACAACATAATAGCACAACTAAGTTTATAGTACAACCAGTCTGAACCAATCAGATTGCTTAACATATGTGAGCTGACAGATGTATGAGATGAGACTACAGCTAGCTACTGTGCAAAATGCCACATATTCTTGTGTAGCACCCAGATTATATAAGATGCAAACATTTTCATCTCTAGTAGTGAACTGCAATTTGATATGTAATTGTTTAATTTGACATGGTAATGCAGTGGATTTAGTACACTTTGACAGAAGATTTTTGATAAAGTGCTATGTAAGAAACTTGTTAGGTTATTATTTAGGGATAGGTTGAAATCTCTTGACATGTTTTCATTGTAGAGGTGAAGTGCTCTGCAGGACACTGTTGAGGTTTTCAAAATTACAAGAGGTGTGGAATTGATAAATCCAGGTGATGTTTTAATAAAATAATTTTGCAGGCAATAAGATTAAGTTGACTGAAGTTTGAGTTAAGGAAAACTTGGACTCCAGTTAAGGCAGTGTTACTTGCAATTTGTATGGTGGTTGTCCTATGGAAATTTGCCTTGAGATGTGGTAGAAGCTGCAACACTAAAAAGAGTTCAAGAAAAGATTGGATGAGTAGTTTTAATGTCATGGCTGAATATGGGAAAAGTGGTTTCTGTATGTAGTTTGGAGGAGGGTGTTAGTAGAAACATGGGATAGCATACATGGGCAAAGTGGTCTCTTGCTATCCTGTGGAAGTAAAGTGGAAGTCATTGCTAATTATAGGACTGAGAGATTTTCAAGGAGTTCAAGTTGTACTCAGCAACTTCCTGAAGAGTTAGGTTTGAATTTTGTTTGTCCTTCAGAAAGATGCTGGGTGGGTGGAAGGGAGTAATTGTACATCCAATTTCTCGGTGGGCAAAATTTGATAATATACAGAAAACACTATACCTACATCTTGATTACATTTTTTTGCAAGTTTTATTTTCACATCATTTTGTCAAATGTTTTTATTCAAGTTACACATACTTATGTGTTGTTTGTATCAAGCCTTGAATTGGCATCCTTCCTGATACGAGTCCTGATACGATTTTTACATTGTATTATCTGGTTGCACTCCTTTCTGTGTCTGTCTCCACATGGTTGATTGGGATTTCTCTGGACTTCTCTTACATTCCTGGTATACATATTTCTTGTAAGTTATTTCCCTTCTTTTTATGCATCTGTTTTTTCTTGGACAGATTTGTGAAGACCTTGGGTTGGAGCTTCATGCAAACAATGGTACATTTCATATGAATGGAGAAGTTCTGACCACCTTCTTTTTATCTTTCTGGTGGGTGGTTAGTTAGTTTTGTATGTCCTACAGATGCTATTGTTGTTATTACATGGCTTCTGTTATGTTCAAAATGATTCTTGATGTTTGTTCCCTTCCAGAGGATGTAAAATGCACATGCCACTTGTACTGTACTTTTGGGTAATATGCGTCTCATTGATTGTTGCATGTTTGATTCATGTGTTCTGTTCTCTACTTTTCATCATTGTGATATTTCTAGAACATTGGAATACATAAATCTGTATTTAAATACTGCATTTTTGGTGTAAAATGGAAAAAAAATTTTTTTACATCAGTCCCTCATTTCTCCCCACATCCATCACCTGGAGTGTGGATTCAGTTGTTGTCTGGAGTGTTGGTATCAAAGTACATTGGAAATATGCAAATAATACTCATACAAGAAGCACAAATAATGAGTAATTACAGCTAATTGGTTAATTTATCATTATCTCAATACATTATTACTAAAAATGTAAAAGAAAATTGAAGATGTAGAATGCACTATGATTTTATATTTGCTTTTAAACAGAATAGCACACTTTGTTTTTATGTTACCTTAAGTTTACTGATGTACAATTGTAAAATATTGTTTCAAATGTCATATATTTCTTCCCACAATTTAGCAAAGTTGTTTAGTTGCTCTTTTACTTTCTTAGTCTTCATATAAGCCCATTTAGATTTAATAATACTTATATCAGGATTTTGCACAGGCCAAGCCACAGTTGTGTGTGTTCCTTCAGCCTCTTTTTTTTCCTTTGAGGTATTATTTTATCATACTTACTACATACTTGGTATCACTGTTGCTGGAAGATGGATCCCCTCCCCATCAGGTCTTGTTTCTGAGGAAATGACATGATGAATAAGAACCTGTTCTACTTGTGAGCAGTCAGGATGCCATCAGTTTTACATAATTCTTCAATACCATTGACTTAGATGCTTCACTGTAGATGTTGTATACAGAACCTTGTCCCATTCTCCTCTCTGCTATTGAACAAACTGTTGTTTGCTGTAAACAAATTTAATTTAGATTCATCTTTAACAAGTACTCTTCTCTAGCTTTACTTATCCCATTGTTTGATGTCTGATTGCCATTCCAATCATTTAATTTAGTTGTCTCTCTTACACAGTGGTTTTTAAACAGCTACACGTCCATTGAGGCCACTTTGTGCTAATATGTATCTTACTATTCTGTAGATAACATTTGTACCTGTATACAGTTGGGTCATTGGTATGTATATTTTAAAGTGAATAAAGAAAAGGTATTTTGAAGAAGTCTGTTTTATCTACATTTAAATTATGTAATAAAATATTGCTGCTAAATTAAAAATGCTATAGTTTCTTGCTATGTGCATCACCCATTATTTTGTTATTTTTAAATCAAACCATCACATGTATAATCATGTGTTTTTAGGGTAATTCACTTAACTGGCATATGTTACAGCCACAGAAAAATATTAATACAACTGAATGTCATATGGTTACATCTTATTGCATAACTGCTGTTAATTTTATGATATGGTAATTGATATGCTTGGTAGTGTAAATTTTGTGCTTCATTGTATATAGGTTTCCTTTAAATTGGTATCTTGTAAATATAATAGTTACTAATTTTCAACTATGTAATAAAATTATGAATTAATTATTAATTTTTATATCTGAAAATGTATGCTGTGATTTATGGATTTAAGTATGTTATGAAATATTGGACTTGACTGTTACGTTTTATTGATCATATCAGAGAACAATGCCAGTAGAAAAAACTAAGGCTTGAATAACCCTGTTGATAGATATGCTTTTAAAACATTTATGTACTAAGCACATGCTGATGTAGGTTGTTTATTTATAATATTTTATTTGTTTTACAGATTTTTTGAGTCGTTACATATGGAGTATGTACCATCATCATTATCGACATTCAAGTTCATCAACTTTATCAAATGTGTAAGTTATGCATGTTGAACAGATTGTAATTAAGTCTCTTGAGGAAAATCTGAACTCTTAAGTTTAAATATAGCATATTTGAATATTAAGAAAATGAATCTATTTAATGCCTTTGTCAGATATAAAAGACTGTTTAGTGTAGATAGTATTATTAATTTATTTATTTTGTGTTTGTAATTCATTGATGTCGAGGCTGTCAAATGTTGGGTTTGCAATCCTTTTAATTTCAAGGCTATGGAGATTTCTAGAAGGCCTAAGTGATGAGTGGAGAGAGAGTAAAAAGTAAAGTCATGGGAAAAAGAAATTTAGTGAGAGAAAAGTTAAAAATGAAAAGTTAACCGTTTTTGGAGTGAAAAGCATAATGGTTGATATGTTAGAGGTTAATAAATTGAAAGAAATAAGGAGAATAATTTGTCTTGTCAAAGGGAGTTCTAAACTAATTGAACCCGCCTGTGTGGACCTTGATGAAAGGAGATGATTATTGGAAGTACAGGATACAACTGCAGTAGCTCACGCGACAGCATAAGTGAATTATATACGGATACTATTGTGATACAAATAGAGAAAAATAGTTCAGCTTGTCAACCGAATTGTAAAGCAATTGAATAGGCCTAAGTGGGCTTTTGACAAGAAGAAGAAAACTGTATAATGTTTAAGATACAACTATGATTGCCGAAGTGTAAAGAATTTTGTACATACATTTAACTTGTTTTGAAAATATATATTATTTTAAAAAACAAGTGGAGTGTGTGTGCTGTTTGTTTATTGTTGAATTCATTTACGACAAACCTTAGACACCTACTCTAGAAGAATCCTTAGCCCAACACACCCATACTTTTATATGTGCTACTAAAAAGTAAGTTTCTGACAGACTTAATTTTCATTTTAAGCAACATATTCTCTCTTGATTCACTAACATACTCTTGACTTCTAAGTCAGTTGTCCTAAATGATTCTATCATACACACTTAAAAAATTTAACTTTTATTTTAAACTTTCACATTATTTTTGTTTGACTTGTGATGCCTATTCAGCAAACTTGTTTTACATAATTATACAGAGTAATCAACAAATATATTTATTGTAGAACAACCCTGAAACTTAAAACTTGTAAACAATTTTCAAAATAAAGTTAAACTAAAAAACTTGATATTCATTGAAGAGGTTCTAGAGGTTTTATAAATGAATTGTGAAAACTGTAAGATGAACAAAACTATTTTTTTTATATCTTAATTTGAAACCACATTGAATTCAGTATAGTCAGTTTTGTGTCAGACTCTGACTCCATAAATTCACAGTCAGGTCTTTAGTAAAAATACTTAATTAAAAAAATCTGATTCTTTGTGTACAATGTTCTAATGTTAACTAAATGCTTGCCAAATTTCATGAAGATACACTAACTACATTAAAAGTTATAATACGTATAGTTTCATGGTCACATGGTGGTTACAAGGTTGGTCAAAAGTCCAAGAGAGGGTGAATGTGTGACTTAATTTACAAACTAGTCCTATTCATCAACCCTGTTTGATAATCACAAAGTACAGTTTTTATTATTATCATTATTACAAATATACAAGTTCATGTATTGTTTTTTGCATCCTTTTTTAAACTTTACAATGATTTATTTTCTCCAACTTTACCAAGAAAATATTCTCATTAAAATGTCTGTACATCTTTGCATAGTGGTGGATAAGTCATTCGTACTGTCAAGGTAGTGCTCTGAAGCTAGTGGTAATGTTAGTAGAATTAAGGGTGTATTTGTAGATATACTGATTAAATGGGAGAAAATATTAGGTGCCACAAAGAAAGTTTTAGTCACCATAGTGACCTAAAGCCCAGGACTTGTCGAGACCTCCTCTATGGTCTCATTTTATAGTGGTATTTTATGTTTACTCATTTCTTCAAGGATTATTCTGGTGCTGTGATATTAATGTTAGGGGCTGCTGGTGATCAGAGAATTTGGCACTATGCAATGAAAAGTTTACCATCATGATGCAATATGACTAATATTCAATTCAACTATTTCTAAATCTTAATTTTAATATTCTGAGTTAAAGAACTTTCAGTAACGTCAGGGGTGTTGAGAGCCAGCCCAAGCCTCAGGGTCAGTAATATCGTCATGCCCCCCCCCCCTTCATTCTAATTATTAACTTTTGCTGATTTTTCATAAAATAAATATAGGTGACAAATTTTTTCATGAATCCATGAAAAAGCAGTAGCCATTTTAGCTAATTAAGTAGTATGCATTTCTAGTGAGCTTTGGAATATCCTAATGCCGTGCCTCCCTTGACCCCTCTCGTCAGCCCTGAGTAACGTAGTGCAATATAAACATTTGTTATTTTCACTGTAATATTGAAATACTGCTAATTTTGATATCTATGTTATGTTCTGGTTTCGTATCTGCAAATATGTAGAAAAAACACTAATAAGGGAAAACTGATATGTATAACTTTTTAATGAAGTCATTTCTTGAAGTGAATGTTGTAATAAGAACATACCACATGGAATGCTCAGACAGAAACCATCTTATAATGGCTGGAGACGGCTTAAATGGGTAATGAAGAAAAACTTTAATATAAGTTTAACATGACAGCAAATGTACAACGTTTCGACAAGGTTCAGGTTCAATACAGACTTGAATATGAGAAATACCACTGACTAATGTTAATTGTACAAGCATTCTTCCTATATGTGACTAATTATTTCAGCTTGTCATGTGCTTTGTAAATCGTACAAATGTTGACCATTAAATAGAGGAAAAGTAGGGAGGTCAACTAAAAGAACTTTAAGATCTCTCCATCATGACAAATAGCCACCAATATAGCTAATAGTTATGATGTAAGATATATTTGAATTGCATTTCAAAATAAATATATTAATTCATATTTAAGTATCAAACATACACAGTTATCTATATAAAAACATCTCTTTTTTTCTTTCATTAGTACTCACATAATTACCTAAAACTTAAAAAGTTACACGTTGTTCTTTGCAAAACTGTATAGGTTAATCTCAGTAAAATGTTCAATAACCAGTTTTTTGATGAGTACATTTTTCAGACCTTTTCTGTAGAACTGAAACTAAGCTTAAAATTTAAATTTTATTTATGGACTCTTGTAGTGACTCATGGGTTGTGTTAACAGACGACAAGTCTACTTTTATTGGGTGGCATCCAGAACCAGAATTTCCTTATGAGCATACCAAGGTAAGGTGAAGAAATTAGATAAGTAGGTACGGTAGATAATTGTATTCTTTTTTTGCATTTAATTCCTATAGATAATATTTTTGAAAAACATTTAGATGTATGCCAAAGTGATCAAGAATAAGTAGCTGATTCTTAATAATAATTTTAAAAGGAATTTGCAAAATTTTATTAGGGGGAAAAGTAATACAGCTAATTACATCCAAATTCTGTGTTGATGTTTGTATCAGGTTTTGTTGCAGAATCTGATAAAAGCTCAAGCACAAACATTACATTTCATCTATCTCAAGAGGAGTTTAATTAAAATTTTCTAAGCAATTTCAGGGATGATTAAAAAAGGATCCCAGTATTTCTGTTAAAATTTATTTTTTTATGATGTTACATGGTTATATTTTTAGATCCAAGTGATTGAGTTCTGTGAATTGATATTTGCTTGTGAGGCTGAGTATAATAAGGTTTATTCCAATAATGTTATTGTACATTTGCAGTTTAAGCATCTGTATCTTCCAGTTTTTAGTTGCAGGGCAAACATGGCCATAGCCAATATGTTAAATTGGAAAGTGAGTGTTAATTTTGACAAAGTAAGTGAGTATGTGATGGGTTTAGAGCAATATGCTTTTCTAAGGTACCATGCCAACTATCACTTTTAGATTGGAGTAGATCCTTATTTGCCTTAAATGATATTAATTAATAGGATATATAAAAAAAACTTTATTCAACTATCAAGCCAATGCTGTATGGTAGATGCTAGTCAAAGAACAAGCTTCACTAGTTTTAACATTTACATTGGAAGATTTGGCTTGCCCTCTGGTAGGGTCTCATTTGTAAATTAGGTAGCCACCACCTCTAGGCTATATACAATAAATAACATGTAAAGGGTACAGAAAAAACTGTGTAACTTGAGTTCACATAATAACTTAATAAAAATTACAGTTAAAACTTAAAGCAGAAACTTCTTGTGAATTAACTAGAAATGTAGGTTAAATTTAATAAAAGTAACAATCTTAGATTTTATAATCAGATTTAATTAAATATACCAATAGGTATAATATTGTAGAAATAATATTTGGTATATAACCTGTGCTCTAGAGTATAAATAAACACCATACTAGAAGATAGTTTATAAATATTTCATTTGGTTCTGATTTTCTTTTATTTTCTCCGAAGTTACAAGAGTAGTCACTGCATATATGATCTTGGCAAGAATAGATGCCTATTGAGACAAATTTCATGCCATGTTGCACCTCTCATTTTTAGTCATTTTGTTGGTTTTTCACCTTTGTGAGAGATATCTTTTGATACTCTTTAAAAACTTAATTACTTCCCCTGTCTGCCCTATTAGGACATCTAAAAATGGGGTAGGTGTCAGGTATTTTTGAAAACTATTACACATTATGGCTGTTGTGAAAGTTTTCCTGTACTCTGATGAATGGCCAAATTGCTGTCAAAGTGTAATGTCATGTGAAAGCAACCTCTTGTGCTTGTTATTATGTCATCCACCAAAAGCTCGTCTGATTTTGGCATGGAAATGAGGATTTTGAAGTTTTTATAGATTGTGTCTTTTTCTGAGGTTGAATTCTTTCCATCATATTTCAAGTTTTGGTTTGATATTCATCATAACCAAGTCATGATCACTGCCAATCTCTGTTTTAAGGAAGAGCAGGACTTAGCTTTGTTTATGCTGAACTGAAAGCTTTTTGTCATCAGAATGCAATCAATTTTGTTTGTGGTCACCCCATATGATGCATGGTTTTTGAGAGTACAGTGAATTGGCTATAGTGAAGAGACAGTACATTGCAAATTCCGGTAGTCATAATACACAATCATTTCACTTGTTTGGTGCTAACCATTGTTTTAAACCATTCCCAGAAATGAATTTAATTTTTGAAACAAATCAATATTTCTGAGACTTCATTGCTTCACACATCATTTTATGTTTAAAGTTACTTCTTCTCTGTACTACTTAAACTATTTCTTATCTTAATTTCCAAGTAAATAATGTCATGTGTTAAAGGTTCTTATACTATTTAACTGTGTATTAACATTCTCATGTGCTTGCATTGGGTTCCTGTGGAGCCTTAAAAGTCGTAAAATGTTTTTTGTATTTAGATCTTAAAATATTGCTGAAGCTCTTAATCCTTTCAGTGCTATCTCTGTATGAGATATGGCAGTTAGTGAAAATGCTATCACCATGTAACATACATGTTTATTTTTCTTGCCACTCTTTGAGTTCATATTGGTGCTCTGGTATGGTAACTAGTTTACATATGTAGCCAGCTCAGTTATACATAGAATATAATGGTGGGAGAACCTAGTATGTTACAAGGTTGTCGCAAATGAAAGCTGCCAATGACAGATGATGACATAAGCAAAGTTTTGAAGGATATGAGTGACACATCCAATGTGAATGAGCATGTTGAAGACCTGTTAGGGTTTTGTCAAGGAGTGATGAAGAATTTGAAATATCAAAATTCCACTGACAAAGTCCAAGTGAAGAAAGTGAGGACAGTGTTGGTGAAGGCACTACCTCATGGCTTCCTCTCCCTTGCTATGTATGGAGTGGGGGCCCAGTATGGCTATGGTCATTTGATAAATTTATCCCATGTACCTGATTTTGATGCTTCTAGTTTTGGAATATAACAGGACAGTGAAGTAAGTGAAGAGCCGGTTGAATTAAAATATTTCGAGACATTTTTTGATGAAACTTTGATGAACCATATCGTGCGCAAAACAAACAGATATTATCAGTATTGTGCTGAAAAAATTACTATGTCCACTAATTCAACAATGTATAAGTGGAAAGATACAGATGTTAGTGAACTTAGGTTTTTTTTTTCTTTCATTTGTAATGCTTGTGCCACACATAGTCTGAAAGATTATTGGTCATTGGATCCAGTACTTAATGCAAAAATATTTGGCCAGTACATGAGTAGAGACTGCTTTCAGTTGCTTTTTCAGTTCCTTCATTTTGCAGACAATGAAGATCAAGATGAGGAGGACAAACTATTCAAAATAAAGTATGTTCTTTTATATCTGAAATACAAATATGCAGCAGTGTTCAAGTCATTTCAGAAACTGGTTGTGATGAATCTTTGGTCTTGTTCGAAGGTCCCTTAGGATTTTATCAGTATATTCCATCCAAATATACATTGTTTTGGAATCACACCTTTTGTGTTGTATGACTAAAACTGGGTGTATCTTATATATGATAGGGTATACAGGAAAATCATCATACATACCAAAGAATTGCCCACTAGGTTTATCCAGCACAGTGGTAATAAAACTGATGGAAAAATATATTGGCCAGGGTCATATACTATGTACCAATAACTTGTATGCCAACCCTGATCTGTATAAGTATCTGTAAGCAAATAAAACTGATTCATGTGGTACAGTGAGGCAAAATAGAGAACATATGCAAGTTTTTCCTTCTAAAATGAAATCAGGTGAATGTTACTTTGTGAACTCGACCAAAATAACGGTGATAAAGTGGCATGACAAGCGAGATGTATGCCTGTTGTCAACTGTGCATGGAGGATGAATGGATGACAGTGGAAAGAAGGACAGGAAAGGTGGGCAGAAAATAGTGATACCAGTGGCAGTGCTAGATTATGTACATAACATGCGTCTTATTGACAAAGCTGACATAATGATTTGGGGATGTTGAGTGCATAGGAAAATGCATGAAATGATACAAGAAAATTTTCTTTCATATGTTGGGCATCAGTTTATTGTGAAAGACTATACCTTCAGTAGTGTGACAGATCATGAGACAAGTATGGTTCAAAGGATTTGCATAAAAAAGATGTGTCATGGTGAACCATGTCTGGACTTACAGGAAGACACTTTTGTAAGAAACTGCCACCAACAGCAAATTAAAGAACCAGCAAAGAGTGTGTTAGGTTTGCTTACTCACAATGAAAAAACCACATAAGCGAAGAGATACAAGGTTCTGGTGCCGAGAATGTGATGTGGCTCTGTGTTTTAAATATTGTTTCAAAGACATTTAAAAACTACTAAATAGTGACATAAGTGTAAATATTAGAATTAATTTTTTTTTTTTTTTTTTTTTAAGTTTTATCACTTTTCAACAAATACTGTTGGGGTAGGTCATGGGGGTGTAACACTGAAAGGCTTAAAAAATCTGAAATCAGTCACAGGTCAAGACAAAATCTTCAAGCTCTCAGTAAATATATATTCAAGAGTAACAAAAAATAACATACCGTGTTAGTATATGAGAAACACGTGTTGCTGTCAAACACATTTGTGTTCATAGCAAATGCAGTGAAGGTTAAATAAGTTTTAAGAGGTTATTTTTTGGTCAATTTTCTGTGATTTTCAAAGGATTGGCCTTAAATGGTCAGTTGACAGCTGCAGAAACCATGTTGGTTACAAGCTTAGCTATTTTAAAAACATTTCTTAGGCTCTCAGACATGACATGCAAACTGCAATGTTTTTGTTTTTTGATTTATGCCTATTTGAAACATAACTTAGCATAAATAGGACATACCAAGTTTTAAATAATGGAAAGTTTTGTTCAGTGCCTACAAATCAAGTTTTTAATGCTCAGAAAATTGATTTAAAAAATGTAAATATAAATATTCAAAAGTTTGTTAGTGTGTTGGCATCATCCTACAGTGATACATGTATATAGGTTTACCTAGTTAAAAAGATTTGAAAGGTCTCCAAAAGTGTGTAATAAACAAGAACCAATGATTTTTATATATCTTTAATTCTTAACTTTTAAATACCTGTTGTCTTTGATTTTTTATAAATGTCATGTGTATTGATGATGTTAGTTTTCAAAAATGAGGATGGACTGTACTTTTTCTCTTATATTTTAGCCACTACCGCAATTAAGGCAAGAACTAAAAGAGGTGAGTTATATACATTTTTGATTGTAATGTCACATACAATTTTGTAAGTTTACTGTTAAAAATTACGTATAGGTGCTTTCACCATCTTGTAGTGAAACTCAGTAGTATTAGGTTTTAAATTTAATTTCAGTTCACTCTTGTGTTCCGCTTCTTTATTTAAGGTTTCACTTTATTACTAACACAAATGATAAGTAGTCTGTCAGAATTTAACAATGTATATATTTTTTTTTTTTTTTTTTTTTGCCAATTGTCAAAATAAAAAACCTTTTTGTTATATATCTTAATTGTATAAATATATACTATGTTGTTGTTGGGATTAGGATTCTTCTACAGTAGGTGTCTGTGACTTTTTAGTGATAAATAAACAGCATGAACTTCACTTGTTTTAAAAATAATATATATATATTTGGAACAAGTTAAACATATGTACAACAAATTATTCAACACTATAGGTATTATAGGCATATTGTAAACACTATATATGTAGTTCTCTCCTTCTTGTCAAATATCCACTTAGGACTATTCAATTAATTTAGAATTTCAGTTGACAAGATAAACTATCTTCTCTATTTCTATCGCACTAGTATTCTCTATGATTCACTTACAATTGTGGTGCGAGTTACTGTAATCGTTTGGTCTTCTTTCTTTTGAAGATCCTATGTTCCTTTTGTTAAAGTGCATTCAGGCTGATTCAATTACTTTAGAACCATGCTTTGACAGAAGAAATGATTTTTCTTATCTCCGTTTCTACCGTTAATCTTGCTCTAATATTGTACTAGCAAAAAACAATTGATATTTATTTAGGAGGTTTTAGGGATTATGCTAATGAAATTTGAAAATTTTCAGGTAAAGAAAAGTATTTTTAACCTTAACATGAAAATCACTTTGCACTTAGAACAGTCAACATTCTAACACCATATAATTACGGATAAAGTTTTAGTAAAAATACTTAATTAAAAATGCTGATTTTTTGTTTACAAAAGACTTTGAGTGTTTACTGAAAGTTTACCAAATTTTGTGAAGATACATTAACCCTATTGCTATGGGTATTCTTTACTGTGCATGACACAAGGTTTTAGTGTCTTACATTCAAAATTTTATTATACTACTTTTTGTTTATGTTATACCAATTATTATAGCATAAAATTTTAGCTAATAATCCATATTTTAATGGTATATAAGTTTTAAATTCTTAATTCTACAAAGCAATATTTTAAAAAATTCTGAATTTTTCCTAATGTAACATCCATGACACATTTTCTCTTAACATTTCATCTTCCCTATTTTATGTACCACCCCTTGAAAAAGTACAAAATTAAATGTAAATTACTCTATAAAATTGTCATTGATCAGACAAACCATAATTTTTATAGTTTTTGATTTTGTTTGGTTACAGAGATATGGAATAGAAAATCAAACCCCTTCTGCCACACCCACCAGTCACATCCTCTTTTTCAGGATTTGTTAATATTTCTCTCTTACATGTTATTATATATTACAATAGAAAGTCAAGGGTTTCATCTGTAAAATAACGTATTGTATAACATTATGTTCTGAATGGTTAAATGTCAGTTTCACTCAGAGTAACAACATTGTTCCCTTGAGAAAGTTAATGACCCTTGTCGCATAGTTAGAAAACCAGAAAAACTTTGATTGGTAAGGGAATTTGTCTACTTTTTGCATGTTATTAGTCTATATTGTTTGGTGCATTATTTAATTAGATAGAAATTATTAAAAAATTAGGAATTGACCGATCCTATTTGAGATAGGGTAGAGAAAGTAACAGATAAACTATAATGTTTTATTAGAAAGAGAATGTTTGAAATGCATTTAGGAGGTATTAGGGATTACGTAAAAGAAATTTGAGATGAGAAAAAGTATTTTTAATTTTAACATGAAAAGCTACTTTGCACAAGGACTATTCAAAACAAATACTCAACATATTCATATGATTTTTTGTATGTGAAAGACTTGTAATATTAACTGAAAGACTGCCAAATTTGGTGAAGATATACACACTATATTGAAAGTTAGAAGTATTAAATCTATAAAGACTAAATGAGCACAAAGAGGTCACATGTTTGGTCAAATTGAGAGAGTTAAGTACTTTCAGAGTCATAGTATGTATACCACTATGGTTACAAGGTCATGTAAAATACATGAACTATTGCGATAGGGTTAAGAACTGCTTCAGATCTATGCTGTTGCAATTATTTCTTCTGTACCGACTTGAGTGCTTTCTTTTCATAAAGCAGGTTACAAGTTTTGCAGCTCTCTTTTGCAGACTATTGATATCCACTCCAGTAAAATCTTTAATATACTCATTCAAAATCTTAACAGTGAGGTGTCTAGCTGTTGGACAAATGTGAACAACATGACTAAGTGAACAGGAAATAATAATGATACTAGGATATTTATACAATTAAACTTGCTTATTGAATTACAAATTACAGTGTGTCATAAGCCTGAGTAAAGTATAGTAAAGAAGCATTGAGTACGTGATGCTATAATTTGTAATGTGGCTTAACAGTGTGGTATTCTAAGGATTAATCAAGCACATAGTTATCTGATCTTTACAAAAACAAGAGATTCATGGAAGGGCAGTTTTAGTGAGTTTTTGCAGTTGAAATTAAGTTGAACAAGAATAAACACTTTTACTCATTGCACTTCAAAAATTGGATGATCATATTAGTGATAACTATTGCATTAACTGTTATCAAAACACAAAAAAGTAAATGGAACAACACTTTAAACAAAAGAAAGTGAAAATAAACTTTACTTGAAATTAAGCTCAAATCGATTGACTGATAAACTAAAATATAAAAAGGCACATTATAATAGGAATGATTATCAGAAAACACACAAAAAAGTTTGGACTTCCACAACAAATCTTAATTCTTTCAAGTCAGAAGTGAATCTGGTTGAAAATGCTAAAACTGCTCTCTCATTTCACAGTCTTTATGTATCCAATGAAAAATTGGATCTCAAATATCCAGAGGCATCTCTGCTACATGTGGCAGCCTCTGAGCATCCCACGTACACAAGTTAATGCAGGATACAATACAGCTTTCTCATATAACAGTAAGTTGTTTCTGTAACTAAACCTATATACAGGAAGTGACACCTTGATTAGAGTTGATATGTTATAAACTTATAGCTTTATGAAAAAATTATATTTTGTGAATGGGAAATACCATGGGAGATTCAGAAAAGAAATATATGTGATATTTGCATGTAACAACAGTCAATTTATCCCTATCTGTTTAAATTCTGAACATTTTTGTTCAACTACGCTAGTTTTTTTATGCACAGACATTGATTTAACCATCGTTGCTTGTCTTCTGACAGGGTTTGTATATCTACATAATTTTTGAGATAACAGCAAAGCCCTTGTAAAACAATTTACCGTAAGTAAGTTAGTAGACTTGGCTTTACACCATTAATTGTTTTGATGAGCTGAAAATAAATACAGAATGTTACTGTGGACAGTGAAAACCAAAAGTATTTTATCATTGTAATACTTTGATATTTTGAAGTAACTGGTCGTTAAATTTTAGGTAACAAAAAATACCAGTTTTTTTAAAACCCTGGTGTCCTCTAAAAGGACTGCCTACTTCCTGATATTGGATTATTACTCTCATAAATTTGTATTTCCTGTTAAAATGTTGAGCTTATGGCATGAAGAATTTGTTCAAATTGATGTTGTGTACATATTGTTTGTGAAGAATTTTTTATAAAGTTTATTGTTTCCTTTTCAGGGAGATTCTGTATTGAAAATACAATATCGGCTTGAAGAAAAGAACCGTTTTCGACCTGATGGACCAACAGATAAGGAACTTCAGAAATTAACATACACAACAAAACACCGTTGGGCAAAAAAGTAAGAGTTTTAAATATTTATGTTATTAGTCTTTTAGTATACCAAAGAGTTAAGAGGTTATCACTTAAAGTAGTACCAATTTGGGATTGAAACTGTTTACAGCAGTGGGAGTTTTCCTTCAATAGACAGTTTTCTATGTTGTTGTTTTTTTGTATATAGTGAAAAACTATTAGGGATGTTAATTTACTCAATGTGAAAATGCATATGTGATTGTGAAACTATTTTTGTTTGCACTTTCATATTGGATCACTAGAAGGCAAAAGTAATTTGCATTTCCAGTCAGTCTAATATAGAGGTTTTACATACCTTTATTTTTGTTGAGTGTATTGCTTTCAGTTAACCTATGCAGATCTCTGTTCAACATTTTGTTACATTGAAATGTTGATACTCTTGAGTCATGGATATGAAATAAACCTAATTTGTAAAGATATGCTGACCTCTTTAATGTGTGTGTGGAATGTCAACACGTTTGTCTGCCACAGGTTGTGAAATTAACTTACTGCACATCTCAAGTCCAATCAATAACCATGGTCTTATTTATTCAGCTAAATGGGTAACTTATGTAAGGACCTTTAGCATCATTACTATGCTAATGATGTGGCTAGTGATGTTCTAGAAGTAATTACATTGAGGTAATTAACAATCATTAAAAATACCAACTCTACAGGTGTTTTTCTGTAGCCTTAAGTAATAAGTTGGAGACAGGAAATAGTATATCCATGTGGCTGTTCATACTTGTGTTGGTGTAGCACACTGTGTACTCTTTCTCAAGTTTATGTCCTCATGGGTAAGCAAATCAACACCCTTTACACTTTACCCTCAGAGTACAAGACAGTGAGACAAAGACTGAGTTCCATGTTCAAGTCATTTTTAAGATCTTCATTTAACCTGGCTTCAGATCTTTTGAAGGTATTATGATTTTTTACTATTGTATTTTTCACATTTGTACTGATTAGGTGTTTATAATCTCTATGATTCAAGAATAACCACATATTATTTCAGCAAAATCATATGTAGAGGCATGCCTAGGCTAACTGTCTAACATCAAGTAAAAAATGTAGGTTTCAGAAATCTCCTTTTTCATAGTTCTGTTATGACCTTACCCTCTCTGCAAATTTGATGTTAATTAATATTAATAGAATTATATTTTGGTTATCCACAACAACTAGTGGTTTCCAGTTTTTTCACAGCATC